CTCCCTGGCTCAAGTGATCTTCCCACCTCTGCCTCCAAAGTAGCTGGGACCACAGGTAAACACCTGGCTACTTTTTGCCTGGCTAATTTTTATACTTTTTGTAGAGATGGGGTTTTGCCATGTTGTCCAGAGAATCTCATGCTTCAGTCTCCCAAGTAGCTGGGATTACAGTCATGTGCCACCACACCCAGCTGATTTTTGTATTTTTAGTAGAGGCAGGGTTTCACCATGTTGGCCAGGCTGGTCACCTAAACAGAAAATTTATGGACACACTGATAACATTCCAGGATACACTGAAAGGGCTTCCAGTGACATATTCATTTACTTATTTGATGATTATCTGTGCCGTGGAGTACCTCTCCTCTAGTTTTTTTTTTTTCTTTCTTTCTTTCTTTTTTTTTTTTTTTTTTTTTTTTTTGCCTGAGACAGGGACTTGCTCTGTTGCCCAGGCTAGAGTGCAGTGGTAATTAGAGGTCACTGAAGCCTTGAACTCCTGGGCTAAGCAATCCTCCTGCCTCTGCCACACAAGTAACTGGGACTACAGGTATGAGCCACTGTGCTTGGGTAATTTAATTTAATTTTTTTTGTGAGACAGGGTCTTACTCTGTCACCCGGGCTGAAGTGCAGTGGCACAATCACAGCTCACTGTAGCCTCAACTGCCCTGGTTCAAGCAATCCTCCCACCTTGGCCTCCGGAGTAGCTGCGACTATAGGCACATCCCATCATGCCTGGCTAATTTTTAATGTTTTGAAGAGACAAGGTCTCAATATGTTGCCCAGGCTGGTCTCAAACTCCCAGCTCAGGCAATCCTCCAGCCTTGGCCTCCCAAAGTGCTAGGTTTGTAGGCATGAGCCATCATGCTTGACTTTTTTTTTTTTTTTTTAAAGAGGAGTCAGGGTCTCTCTCTGTTTCTGGGGCTGGAGTACAATGACACAATCATAGTTCAATGCAGCCTCAAACTCCTGGGTTTAAGCCATCCTCCCATCTTGGCCTCCCAAATTCCTATTTTCTAAACTTGGAATTCCAGCAGGGTGTGGAGGCTCACACCTGTAATCCCAGCACTTTGAGAGGCTGAGGTGGGTGGGTCACTTGAGTCCAGCAGTTCAAGACCAGCCTGGGCAACATGGCTAAAACCCATCTCTACAAAAAATATATAAATTAGCCAGGTGTGGTAGTGTGCACCTGTAGTCCCAGCCACTTGGGAAGCTGAAGTGGGAGGATTGCTTGAGCCTGGGAGGCAGAGGTTGCGGTGAGCCAGGATTATGCCACTGCACTCTAGTCTGGGGGACAGGAGTAAAACCCTGTCTCAAAAAAAAAAAAAAAATTAAAAGTGAGCTGAGAATTCTAAGATATACCCTTCTCAACAAATACCCTCTCATATACTCAACTTTATTGGTTTTTGCCTCCTATTGTGAGGAAATATAAGTTTCTATAAGTAGTAACAATGGGATTGCTAAGTAGACATACTAGCTAATGTTGGATGAAGATATCACCATGAGCAATGAATTCTCCCCTTCAAATGTTAGCAGGAGTCTGGTAGAATACCCAAAGAAGAGTTTTCTTTTTCTGATTCTAAATATTCACACATACACATACTTCAGAATTCTGCATGTATTATTTGTGTTATCCATTGATGTGTGTATGTATGTGTGTGATGGAATTTTGCTCTTGTTGTACAGGCTGGAGTACAGTGGCACAATCTCGACTCACTGCAACCTCCACCTCCCAGGTTCAAATGATTCTCTTGCCTCAGCCTCCCATGTAGCTGGGATTACAGGTGTCCACCACTATGCCTGGATAATTTTTGTATTTTTAGTAGAGATCGAGTTTCACCATGTTAGCCAGGCTGGTCTCAAACTTCTGACCTCAAGTAGTCTACCCACCTCCACCTCCCAAAATGCTGGGATTACAGGTGTGAGCTATTGCACCTGGCCAATTATAGATTTTTGAACTAAAAAGGATACTACAGATTACTGTAGTCTATTGTAATTAGAAAACTGGGGTCTAAAAAGGTAAATGTAAGATCCAGGTCTGGACATGGTGGTTCGGGTTTATAATCCCAGCATTTTGGGAGGCTGAGGCAGGCAGATCACTTGAGGTCAGGAGTTTGAGACCAGCCTGACCAACATGGAGAAACCCTGTCTCTACTAAAAAATATAAAAATTAGGCTGGGCACGATGGATCACGCCTGTAATCCCAGCACTTTGGGAGGCCGAGGCAGGTGGATCATGAAGTCAAGAGATCGAGACCATCCTGGTTAACATGGTGAAACCCCGTCTCTATTAAAAATACAAAAAAATTAGCTGGGCATGGTGGTGCGTGCCTGTAATCCCAGCTACTCAGGAAGCTGAGGCAGGAGAATTGCCTGAACCCAGGAGGTGGAGGTTGCGGTGAGCCGAGATTGTGCCATTGCACTCCAGCCTGGGTAACAAGAGCGAAACTCCGTCTCAAAAAAAAACAAATTAGCTGGGCATCTTGGCACATGCCTGTAGTCCCAGCTACTTGGGAGGCTGAGACAGGGGAAATGCTTGAACTGGGGAGGTGGAGGTTACTATGAGCAGAGATTGTGCCACTGTACTTCAGCCTGGCAATAGAGACAGACTCAAAAAAAAAAAAGATTAAACTGGTTAGGATCAGAAAAGCAAGCTATCTGCTTCAGTGGGATATGTATATTATTTGTTCTTGATACTACCACTTGTAGTAAGGTTCCTTGCTTTTTGAGTTGGTCATTCCTCTTTTCACCTATATTGTCAACTACTGTCAAATGGCAACTCCCCCTCAGCACTAAAAACATGCCTGGGCCAGGCGCAGTGGCTCACACCTGTAATCCCAGCACTTTGGGAGGCCGAGGCGGGTGGATCACATGAGGTCGAGAGTTCCAGACCACCCTGACCAATATAGTGAAACTCTGTCTCTACTAAAAATACAAAAGTAGCCAGGTGTGATGGCACGTGCCTGTAATCCCAGCTACTGGGGAGGCTAAGCCAGGAGAATCACTTGAAACTGGGAGGCGGAAGTTGCAGTGAGCCAAGATCACACCATTGCGCTCCAGCCTGGGCAACAAGAGTGAAACTCTGTCTAAAAACAAACAAACAAACAAAAACCTAGTTTATTCCTCTTTGGGGAGAAAAGAAAAATTATCTCTCCTGTCTGCAGCCAAGCTTCTTGGAATTCCAAGTTGTCTGTCTTCCCACCTCCACTGAAATTGCTCTTGCCAAGGTCAAGACTGACTTCCTGGTTGCAATGTCCAGTGAAGTCATTTAATAATTTTCTTCCTGTCATCTGCAATATTTGACATATTGACACTCCTTCCATCTTGAAACTGTGTTTCTCCTTGGGTGTTTCAACACCACTCAAAACCAGATTTCCTTCCATCTTCCTGTCGTGGCAGGGTCCTCTTCCTTCATTTACCCCTTAAAAGATGCTCCTTCCGATCCCGATCTCTTCTCCTGAAATTGTTATAGCAAAAATGTTCTCTTCTAGTTATTTCATATATTTGGGAGTGGAAAGATATTCAGGCTTTCCCTAGTATTTTTTAAAATTATTTTATGGAAAATTCCAAACATATTCAAAAGGAGTGCAATAGATAATAAACTTCCACATGTCCATTAGCTAGCTTCACTCTGTTGCCCAGGCTGGTGTGCCAAGGCAGGCGGATCACCTGAGGTCAGGAGTTTGAGATTAGCCTGACCAACATGGAGAAACTCCATCTGTACTAAAAATACAAAAATTAGCTGGTCATGGTGGCATGATCTAGGCTCACTGCAGTCTCTGACTCCCGGGTTCAAGCAATTTTCCTGCCTCCACCTCCCAAGTAGCTGGGATTAGCCGGGCGCGGTGGCTCACGCCTATAATCCCAGCACTTTGGGAGGCCGAGGCAGGTGGATCACGAGGTCAAGAGATCAAGACCATCCTGGTCAACATGGTGAAACCCCGTCTCTACTAAAAATACAAAAATTAGCTGGGCATGGTGGTGCGTGCCTGTAGTCCCAGCTACTCGGGAGGCTGAGGCAGGAGAATTGCTTGAACCCAGAAGGCGGAGGTTGCGGTGAGCCGAGATTGTGCCATTGCACTCCAGTCTGGGTAACAACAGCGAAACTCCATCTCAAAAAAAAAAAAAAAAAACCAAGTAGCTGGGATTACAGGCATGCTAATTTTTTTTGCATTTTACATGCCAGCCAATTTTTTTGTATCTTTAGTAGAGCAGGCTCAATTAAGTTTTCTTTTCTTTTTTTAAGATAGGGTTTCACCATGTTGGTAAGGCTGGTTTTGAACTCCCGACTTCAAGTGATCTGCCCACCTTGGCCTCCAAAGTGCTTGGATTACAGGCATGAGCCACCATGCCCGGCAAGTTTTCTTTATATTTTTAGTGGAGACAGGGTTTTACCATGTTGGCTAGGCTGGTCTCGAACTCCTGAACTCAGGTGATCTCCCCACCTCAGCCTTCCAAAGTGCTGGGATTACAGGTGTGAGCCACCTCACCCAGGCCTCTGGAGGTTTTTTAAATAAACTTCTTGTAAATCATTGTAACATTTCACCTGTATATACTTCAGTATGTATCTGTAACAAAGACTGTTATTGTAACATAACCACAGTATCATTATCACACCTTTACAAAATTTTAAAAAATTCTTTCTTTTTTTCTTTTTTTGAGACAGAGTTTCACTCTTGTCACCCAGGCTGGAGTGCATGGGTGTGGCCTTGGCTCACTGGAACCTCTGCCATTCTTCTACTCAGCCTCCCTAGTAGCTGAGATTACAGGTATTCACCACTGCACAAAGCTAATTTTTGTATTTTCTAAATAGAGATGGGTTTTTGTCATGTTGGCCAGGCTAGTCTTGAACTCCTGACCTCAAGTGATCCATCTGCCTCAGCCTCCCAAAGTGCTGGGATTACAGGCGTGAGCCACTGCACCCGGCCCCCCACCTCTTTTTTTAAAAAGAAAAGAAAGAAAAACAACTCTACTAATTTTTACTATTTTTTCCTTTCCTTTTGAAAGGCTATGTTAAATTCCCATACTCCTGTGCCGCTTCTGGATTTGATGACTTTCACTCCATTATCAAACTATAGAGGCAGCCCTTTTTGCTCAGGATACACATGAATACAGAGGTTTTCCCCGTCACTGCCAAGAGACCCAACAGTCTGCTTTGGAATTAGATAATGCACTGAGAACCCTAGCATTTCTCTCAGATCAGACTCTTTGAATGATAGGAGGAATATAGGATTGAGAAACTTTCATTCCCTGGAAGGGAACATGCCAGTTGTGAAAAGCCCAAAGTTGTAAATTGTCAGATGGTGACTGCCTGGGAAACCTATCAAGATTCCTGACAGCTCAGCTGAGAACCTAATTACCAGTTACAAAGAGAGACAGGAAAAACGTGTTGTCAGAGTGAGCCGGGTCAGAGAGAATGAAGTATGATGTCCCAGCCTCATCATCAGCCTCCTTCTTGTTTCGACTAGAACAAAACACATTAGTATAATTGACATTACACATGTTTATCATCTGGAACAAAGGAACCATGTCAAACCATAACTCTGTATCAGCTGAGTCGTTGGTAATCATATAAACTGAACAATGGCATTTGACCTGATTGTACAAAAACACTTCCGGGATTCTCCATGCCAAGGATAATACCATCCTGTACTTAACTTTTCTCTTGGAATTTACACAGACTTCAACCAATTCTCCAGTCCTCCTCATTTCCTGCAGTGAAGAAGAAAAGTGATCTTTTGTTCTAGTGAAGCCCAGAAACGGGTAAGAACTTACCTAAAGCTATAATCAGCAAACAAGCATCTTATTTATTTATTTATTTTTGAGACGGAGTTTCACTGTTGTTACCCAGACTGGAGTGCAATGGCACGATCTCGGCTCACTGCAGCCTCCGCCTTCTGGGTTCAAGCAATTCTCCTGCCTCAGCCTCCCGAGTAGCTGGGACTACAGGCGCGCACCACCATGCCCAGCTAATGTTTGTATTTTTAGTAGAGACGGGGTTTCACCTTGTTGATCAGGATGGTCTCAATCTCTTGACCTCATGATCCACCCACCTCGGCCTCCCAAAGTGCTGGGATTACAGGCGTGAGCCACTGCGCCTGGCCCTTATTTTTTTATTTTTTATTTTTGAGATGGAGTCTCTCACTCTGTCGCCCAGGCTGAAGTGCAAATATCGCCATCTTGGCTCACTGCAACCTCTGCCTCCCGGGTTCAAGCAATTCTCCTGTCTTGGCCTTCCCAGTGGCTGGGATTACAAGCACCCATCACCACGCCGGCTAATATTTTTTTGTATCTTAGTAGAGACAGGGTTTCACCATGTTGCCAGGCTGGTCTCCAACTCCTGAGCTCAGGCAGTCCACCTGCCTCGGCCTCCCAAAGTGCTAGGATTACAGGCATGAGCCACTGTATGCCCAGCTCCAGCATCTTGTTTTCGGTTTTTTCATTTGTTTATTTTTCGAAATGGAGTTTTGCTTTTGTTGCCCAGGCTGGAGTTCAATGGCTCACCTCAACCTCTGCCTCCCAGGTTAAAATAATCCTCCTGCCTCAGCCTCATGAGTAGCTGGGATTACAGGTATGTGCCACCATGCTGGGCTAATTTTGTATTTTTTTTAGTAGAGATGGGGTTTCTCCATGTTGGTCAGACTGGTCTCAAACTCCTGACCTTAGATGATCTGCCCGCCTCAGCCTCCCAAAGTGCTGGGATTACAGGCATGAGCCACCGGGCCTGGCCACCATCTTGTTTTCTAAGGAAAATAAATTAGTATTAACTATGCTGCAGCAGCAGCATGAGGAAACCAGTGCTCTCCACCAAGAATCCCCAAACTGGGGAAAACCAACATTAGTGTATTCACATTCTAGTTTTTACAAAGACTTCTAGTCTTGCAAAACTCACCCACACTTCCCACTCTCTCCTCAATTGTATCAGCAGCAATTGAGCATGAATGCTAACTTTCTTAGTGGGAGATTTTTTTTCTTTCAGTTCTTGAAAACGGGGACCTGGCACTTATAGCAACAGGGGTGAAAGAGAGAGAATTAATATTTATTGGGGACCTATTATTTTCCAGAAAGTATGTTTTACTTCTGTCTAATCTGTAAGCCAAATGGCAAAGTAGATGCTAGGATGAATATCATCAGATGCCGTACCTGGAGTTGAGAGAGATTAAGTAAATTGCCCAACCTCACACATTTAGTAAATGGCGGAGTAGAATTTTTAACTTATTATTTATTCGTTTATGTATCTTTTAGCACAGAGTTCAGGTCTTGCTGTGTCACCCAGGCTGGGGAGTGGTGGCACTATCTCAGCTCACTGCAACCTCTGCCTCCTGAGCTCAAGTGATTCTCGTGCCTCAGTCTCCTGAGTAGCTGGGATTACAAGCATGTACCACCATGCCCAGTTAATTTTTTGTATTTTTAATAGAGATGGGGTTTTGCTATGTTGGCCAGGCTGGTCTCAAACTCCTGTCCTCAAGTGATCCACCTGCCTCCGCCTCCAAAAGTGCTGAGATTCCAGGTGTGAGCCTCGGCCCCGACGTAAAGTCTGTGTTCTTTATAATGCACAGTGCTACCTCAGAATAAGAGAAGGAACTATGGGGATCTCCCAAGAGATGAAGTTGATAAAATCAGCCACTCTGAACTTCCAGTACTTTTGATTTTTCTATACACATATGGATGAGAATTGTCTGGCACAAATAGAAGGCATTCGGGCAAAATACTCCATCAGATTCGAAGATGGTACAGAGAAAAGGGAATTTGTTTGGAGAATGGGAGATTGGAAGGGAAATGAAGTGGATGAAGAGAAAGAAGGATCAGGAAAGAAATATGCCTGGGAAATTTAGTGAGTAGCTTGGGGTTGTTACTAGAGACCTTCCAGCAGGACCTGCAGAACAGTGCAGAAGCTAATATTCTTTTTTTTTTTTTTTTTTTTCTCTCCACTCACCATTTATTTTGTCTTCTGTAAAAGGATTAGCAGGATGGGCTCAGTAGGAAAGGAGGCCCCTGTGGGATCCTGTTACCAGCCATCTGTGTTCTGTTCTTTACTTTTGAACAAGACGGCTCCGAAACTCTGAACTGGAGAGGGAGTTGGAGCTGCATACAGATCAGCAGAGCTGTTGCTAACAGCTCTGATGCCTGCAGGATGACTCAACCCTCTGTGCCTGGCAGAGTCAGCTGTGGTCCCCTGGATCCTCCTACTCTAGGGAGAAAAATCAGAGATGTGGGGAAGTGGCTTGGGGAAAGGGAAGAAGGACCCAAGATCTTGGGCAGGAATTCAGGCTGGAAGGATAGATTGGGGCACCTTGAGTCTTCATTTAAGAGTTCCAGCTAATGATGGGGGAGGGATTAAAGATAACAGTGAGGAAAGCACAATCCTCTATACACTTTAGCTGCTCCCCCAAAAGAGTATACTGTCTGGAGGATGGCAGTCAGCAAAAGCCATATGGCTGTGTCACCAAGAATTCATCCCAAACAGAAATCTCCCTCACCTCCCTGGTGAATTTTATTCAGGTACAGGCAGCTCCTGTTGTTCCCTCACTTTCTGAGGAGCCCAAAGACTCTTCCTGTCCCTACAGGGCACCATTAATACTTAAGAACATTTTCAGTGCTGAACAGTTGCCAGCTTCAGACCTCTCCCCTGGTCATTTACTCAGATCTCTCTTAGACATAGGCAATTGGGAAGAAGAAACCATGCTAGGAAGCTCCTAGGTAGCCTTCCTGTTCTAGTCTTTGTTGCTTGTATATGAATCATGCCAAGAGGTATCTGGATTAACCCTATACCAATACTTAAACACCCAGCTCACTCTACTCCCCGAACAACTCCAGCCTTCCCTTGAAGAACTTTCCTTTTTTTTTTTTTTTTTTTTTGAGATGGAGTTTCACTCTTGTTACCCAGACTGGAGTGCAATGGCGCGATCTCGGCTCACTGCAACCTCCACCTCCTGGGTTCAGGCAATTCTCCTGCCTCAGCCTCCTGAGTAGCTGGGACTACAGGCACACACCACCATGCCCAGCTAATTTTTTGTATTTTTAGTAGAGATGGGGTTTCACCATATTGACCAGGATGGTCTCAATCTCTTGACCTCGTGATCCACCCACCTCAGCCTCCCAAAGTGCTGGGATTATAGGCTTGAGCCACCGCGCCCGGCACTAAGAAGAACTTTCCTTTTTATTTGGCTCCTAATCATTCACTAATAAACAACCCCCCAACTTTGGCTTTTGGGTGCCATGGCAACTCAAAAGAAATGGTTGACACTGCCAATAAAGGCATCTGCAAGAGCTTCCTAAAGCCAGACTCCTTTCAAAACAATAATACAAAATGGAATCAGCACTATATCCACCCTCCCTACCACCCCACATATATACCCTCAAATGTTGGCTTTAGGGAGGGACTCAGTTCTTAGAATAGCTGAGAAAGTGGCTGCTTTGCCCCAGATGAAAGGTTTTCATACTCTAATACATTTATTTCTTTAGACATTTGCCTATAAATCAAACTCACCTAGCAGGTGTCCATGGAATTTACAAAATAAGAGTCCATGGATATTTTTTTTTTACAAAATAAGTCTGCATGTGCTCTTTACTTATTTTCATTTTTCTATGCCTGTATGAAGAATCTGGGTATTTGGTATTTCAGGGATAGAACTGCTGGCTAGTTTCCAACAAAGAAGGAACTCTTGATGGCCTCATATAATATGTGTGAAAGTACTTTTATAGAAGTGCTCAAATATTCATATTAACTAGTATTCCCTGTCCTCATTCCCCTTTAGTTCAGGCTGTATAGTATTTAAGCGCTGGGACTCTGGAGCCAAATTTCCTGGATTGAATCTTTGCAACTTTTCATAAACCTTTCTCTGTGCCTCACTTTCTCCATCTGTAAAATGAGGAAAATACGAGTATCTACTTCAGACGGTTTTGGGGAAGATTAAATGAAATCTATAAAGTACTTAGAACAGTAGCTGGTTTTATATGCTGAGCATCTGTTATATATCAAGTATACTGTTAGACACAGTATGCTGCTGGGAAACACAGACAAGATAACCTCAAAGAGTTCACAGTCTGATACTCTCCGGGTGGAGAGAGACAAACCAATAATGTAGCTAATGTGACAAGTACTTCTCCAAATGAAGAGAGAAAACAGAGGAGGGAGCTAGAAATTTAACCTTAAAGGATGACTGGGTTTTCCTAAAACAGAGAAATGGTATATTAGTTAGGAACTCTGGGTGGCATATAATAACTTGCTCCATTTAGTTCGACAATTTTATTTTAAAGATCTATGTCACAGAAACTCAGGAAAACTAAGAACCCAGAAGTGCAAGAGATGACATTTTTAATATTTTCACTCTGATGTTCAGTCATTAGCATGACTTAGCTATTTTCCTCCTGGCAAGGCCTCTTCAACCAGTACTGATTGACTCCTTATTTTGCCCTTCAGACGAATGTTCTCTACCTCATAGTTTCTACTTCCTTGTAGCTTTTCTTGATTCCTCAGGGCTGTGAATTTATCTTAATATTAATAGCTTTCTTTAGGTATCATTTTAGGTTTTGTTCTTCTCATTCGAAGTTGCATTCTCGGGCCGGGTTCGGTGGCTCATACCTGTAATCCCAGCACTTTGGGAGGCCGAGGTAGGTGAATCACTTGAGGTCAGGAATTAGTAGAACAGCCTGGCACACATGGTGAAACCTCATCTCTACTAAAAGTACAAAAATTAAAATTAGCCGGGTGTGGTAGCAGCTGCCTGCAATCTCAACTACTCGGGAGCCTAAGGCAGGAGAATTGCTTGAACCTGGGAGGCAGAGGGGGTTGCAGTGAACCAAAATTGTGCCATTGCACTAGAGCTTGGGTGATGGAGTGAGACCATGTCTCAAAAAAAAAAAAATGCTGTATTCTCTTCTTTTGCTAACTCAAATTTTAAAGAGTAAGAGAGGCTGGGTGCAGTGGCTCATGCCTATAATCCCAGCATTTTAGGAGGCGAGGGCAGGGGGATCACCTGAGGTCAGGAGTAGGAGACCAGCCTGGCCCACATGGTGAAACCCCATCTCTACTAAAAATACAAAAATTATTCTAGTGTGGTGGTGTGAGCCTACAATCCCAGCTACTGGAAAAGCTGAGGCAGGAGAATTGCTTGAACACAGGAAGTGAAGGTTGCAGCAAGCCAAGACTGCACCATTGCACTCCAGCCTGGGTGACAAGAGCAAAACGTCATCTCAAAATAAATAAATAAATAGACCAGACTTGGTGGCTCACACCTGTAATCCCAGCACTTTGGGAGGCTGAGGTGGGTGAATCACCAAGTCAGGAGATCGAGACCATCCTGGCTAATATGGTGAAACACCATCTCTACTAAAAATACAAAAAATTAGCCAGGCATGGTGATGGGCACCTGTAGTCCCAGCTACTCAGGAGGCTGAGGCAGGAGAATCACTTGAATCCGGGAGGCGGAGGTTGCAATGATCTGAGATTGCACCACTGCACTCCAGCTTGAATGACAGAATGAGACTCCATCTCAAAAAATAATAATAAAATAAAATAAATAAATAGGCCAAGTGCAGTAATCCCAGTACTTTGGGAAGCCGAGGTAGGCCGATCACAAAGTCAGGAGTTTTAGACCAGCCTAACCAATATAGTGAAACCCTGTCTCTACTAAAAATATGAAAATTTGCCAGGTGTGGTGGCACGTGCCTGTAATCCCAGCTACTCAGGAGGCTAAGGCAGCAGAATCACTTGAACCCAGGAGGCAGACATTGCAGTGAGCTGAGATCGTATGGCTGAACTCCAGCCTGGGCAACAGAGGAAGTCTCTGTCTCAAATAAAAATGAAAATAAATAAATAAAGCTGGGCACGGTGGCGCACGCCTGTAATCCCAGCACTTTGGGAGGCGGAAGCAGCGGATCACAAGGTCAAGAGATCAAGACCATCCTGGCCAAGGTGGTGAAACCCCATCTCTACTAAAAATACAAAATATAAGCTGGGCATGGTGGCAAGCGCCTGTAATCCCAGCTACTCGAGAGGCTGAGGCAGGAGAATTGCCTGAACCCGGGAGGTGGAGGTTACAGTGAGCCAAGATCGCATCACTGTACTCCAGAGTGAGACTCTGTCTCAAAAAAATAAATAAATAAATAAAGGTAAATAAATAAATAAAGAGAGAGAATCTGGGCCAGGTGCAGTGGCTCATTCCTGTAATCCCAACACTTTGGGAGGCCAAGGTGGGGAGGATTCCTTGAGCCCAGGGCTTTGAGACCAACCTGGGCAGTATAGTGAGACCCCCATCTCACATATATTTTAAAAATAGTAAATTTTTAAAAAGAGAGACAGCATCTAATCAACTTACTCCTTTTTAATTGCCAGATATGTTGGAAGTTGCTGACCAGATTCTGGGTTATCCACCATTGCATCAGATGCCAATTCTGGTCCAGTAAGCTAAGGCAAAAGGGACATAACTATGGCTACCTTGGGACTGTCTCTTCAACAGAGGCTGTGGGTTGGAAAGTTTTCCTTAGGAAGGAAATGTGGATGTAGCAGTCATGATGTTCTGTCTAGAACAGAAATAAGAAACCACATGTAGAAAGTGCATGGGAGAGTGTTCTGCCTGCTTCCGGACGAGCAAGAAGACTTGTGCTCCGGTTCTCGGACTTCCCCAGCAGCATGGCCCCCAAACGCCAGTCTCCTTTCCCGCCTCAAAAGAAGAAACCAAGACCACCTCCTGCTCAGGGACTGGATGAGACATCGGCCTCTGCAGGCTTGCCGAAGAAGGGAGAAAAAGAACAGCAAGAAGCAATTGAACACATTGATGAAGTACAAAATGAAATAGACAGACTTAATGAACAAGCCAGTGAGGAGATTTTGAAAGTAGAACAGAAATATAACAAACTCCGCCAACCATTTTTTCAGAAGAGGTCAGAATTGATCGCCAAAATCCCAAATTTTTGGGTAACAACATTTGTCAACCATCCACAAGTGTCTGCACTGCTTGGGGAGGAGGACGAAGAAGCACTGCATTATTTGACCAGAGTTGAAGTGACAGAATTTGAAGATATTAAATCAGGTTACAGAATAGATTTTTATTTTGATGAAAATCCTTACTTTGAAAATAAAGTTCTCTCCAAAGAATTTCATCTGAATGAGAGTGGTGATCCATCTTCAAAGTCCACTGAAATCAAATGGAAATCTGGAAAGGATTTGACGAAACGTTCAAGTCAAACGCAGAATAAAGCCAGCAGGAAGAGGCAGCATGAGGAACCAGAGAGCTTCTTTACCTGGTTTACTGACCATTCTGATGCAGGTGCTGATGAATTAGGAGAGGTCATCAAAGATGATATTTGGCCAAACCCATTACAATACTACTTGGTTCCTGATATGGATGATGAAGAAGGAGAAGGAGAAGAAGATGATGATGATGATGATGAAGAGGAAGAAGGATTAGAAGACATTGATGAAGAAGGGGATGAGGATGAAGGCAAAGAAGATGAAGATGATAATGAAGGGGAGGAAAGAGAGGAGGATGAAGGAGAAGATGACTAATAGAACACTGATGGATTCCAACCTTCCTTTTTTTAAATTTTCTCCAGTCCCTGGGAGCAAGTTGCATTCTTTTTTTTTTTTTTTTTTTCCTTCCCTCTTGTGCTCAGTCACCCTGTTTTTGAGGTCTCTTTTCTCTACACCATGGTTCTCAACTTATTTTGGGGGGAAATATCTTGAGCAGGATACAATGGGAAAAGAGTCTCTACCCCTTTCTGTTTGAAATTCATTTGTATCCCTTCCTGTCTTAACAAAAACTGTATGGAATCAATACCACCGAGCTCTGTGGGATAAAAGAAAAACCTGCTCCCTTCGCTCTGCTGGAAGCTGGAGGGTGCTAGGCCCCTGTGTAGTAGTGCATAGAATTCTAGCTTTTTTCCTCCTTTCTCTGTATATTGAGCTCAGAGAGTACACTGTGTCTCTATGTGAATATGGACAGTTAGCATTTACCAACATGTATCTGTCTACTTTCTCTTGTTTAAAAAAAAAAGAAAAAAAAAACTTAAAAAAATGGGGTTATAGAAGGTCAGCAAAGGGTGGGTTTGAGATGTTTGGGTGGGGTAAGTGGGCATTTTGACAACATGGCTTCTCCTTTGGCATGTTTAATTGTGACATTTGACAGACATCCTTGCAGTTTAAGATGACACTTTTAAAATAAATTCTCTCCTAATGATGACTTTGAGCCCTGCCACTCAATGGGAGAATCAGCAGAACCTGTAGGATCTTATTTGGAATTGACATTCTCTATTGTAATTTTGTTCCTGTTTATTTTTAAATTTTCTTTTTGTTTCACTGGAAAGGAAAGATGATGCTCAGTTTTAAAAGTTAAAAGTGTACAAGTTGCTTTGTTACAATAAAACTAAATGTGTACACACACACAAAAAAAGAAAGTGCATGGGAAAGAGAAATGCAGTGTCTAGAATTGATTCAACAGATATTTACTGAAGGATTGCTAAATGTCAATCACCATGTAAGTAATAGATAACAAATGCTTTGATAAGTGTTAGTATGCCATGAAAGCGCTACCCAAACAAGGCATGGGATGTCAAGAAAGGCTTCTTAGAGGAAGGAAACTCCACATGGGACCAGATAGAGAAGTAGGAATAAAAAAGAACATGAGTGCCAGGCATAGTGGCTCACGCCTATAATCCCAGCACTTTGGGAGGCTGAGGTGGGTGGATCACCTGAGGTTAGGAGTTTGAGACCAGCCTGGGGAAACCCCATCTCTACTAAAAACACAAAAAATTAGCCGGATGTGGTGGCACATGCCTGTAATTTCAGTTACTGGGGAGGCTGAGGCAGGAGAATCACTTGAACCTGGGAGGTGGAGGTGGCAGCAAGCTGAGATCTCGCCATTGCACTCCAGCCTGGGCAACAAGAGTAAAACTCTGTCTCAAAAAAAAAAAAGCATGGTAGGCCAGGTGCGGTGGCTTATGCCTGTAATCCCTGCACTTTGGGAGGCCGAGGTAGGCGGATAACCTGATTATATTTTTTGTAGAGATGGGGTTTCACCATATTGCCCAGGCTGGTCTTGAACTCCTGAGTTTAGGTGATCCGCCTGCCTCAGCCTCCCAAAGTGCTAGGATTTACGGGTGTGAACCACCACACCTGGCCTCATTTGTTGTTGTTGTTGTTGTTGTTTCAGGTGTGGTCTCCCTCTGTTACCCAGAGTGGAGTGCAGTGGCACAATCTCGGCTCACTGCAACCTCCATCTCCTGCCTCAGCCTCCCTAGTAGCTGGGATTACAGGCACCTACCACCATACTCAGCTAATTTTTTGTATTTTTAGTATAAATTGGGTTTTGCCACGTTGGCCAAGCTGGTCTTGAACTCCTGACCTCAAATGATCTGCCTGCCTCAGCCTCCCAAAGTGGGATTACAGGTATCAGCCACTGTGACCGGCCTATTGTTCACTTTTTTTTTTTTTTGAGATGGAGTTTCGCTCTTGTTACCCAGGCTGGAGTGCAGTGGCACAATCTCGATCTCGGCTCACCGAAACCTCTGCCTCCTGGGTTCAAGCAATTCTCCTCCCTCAGCCTCCTGAGTAGCTGGAATTACAGGCACTCGCCACCATGCACAGCTAAATTTTTATGTTTTTAGTAGACGGGGTTTCACCATGTTGACCAGGATGGTCTCGATCTCTTGACCTCGTGATCCACCCGCCTTGGCCTCCCAAAGTGCTGGGATTACAGACGTGAGCCACCGCACCTAGCTGTCACTTATTTTTTTTAAAGAAGGGGGAGAGAAGGGGAGAGGTGCTGGCTAAAGGGCAAGCTGAGGAGATTGGAAGACAACCAAAGCCACCGCTACTGCCGCTGCCACCTCCGCTTCCCTATCTGGGCACCACACTATTGTTCACATTTTTTTTTTTTTTTGAGATGGAGTGTCGCTGTGTCCTCAGGCTGGAGTGCAGTGGCTTGATCTCGGCTCACTGTCACTGCAACCTCCACCTCCTGGGTTCAAGTGATTCTCCTGCCTCAGCCTCCTGAGTAGCTGGGACTGCAGGTGTCTGCCAACACACCCGGCTAATTTTTGTATTTTTAGTAGAGATGGGGTTTCACCATATTGGCCAGGATGGTCTCAATCTCTTGACCTTGTGATCTGCCCGCCTCGGCTCCCAAAGTGCTGGGATTCCAGGCGTAAGCCACCTTGCCTGGCTTTTTTTTTTTTTTTGAGATGAAGTTTCACTCATGTCACCCAGACTAGACTGTAGTGGCACGATCTCGGCTCACTGAACTTCTGTTTCCCAGGTTCAAGCAATTCTCCTGTCTCGGCCATGCACCTGGCCCCCCCTTTTTTTTTTTTTTTTCTTGAGACCGAGTTTCACTCTTGTTGCCCAAGCTGGAGTGCAATGGCATGGTCTTGGCTCACCGTAACCTCTGCCTCCCAGGTTCAAGCAATTCTTTTGCCTCAGCATCCCGAGTAGCTGGGATTACAGGCATGTGCCACCACGTCTGCCTAATTTTGTATTCTTTGTAGAGACAGGATTTATCCATGCTGGTCAGGCTGGTCTTGACCTCCCGACCTCAGGTGATCTGCGCCTCAGCCTCCCAAAGTGCTGGGATTACAGGAGTTAGCCTCTGCTCCTGGCTTATTGTTCACCTTTTTAAGAGGAGGAAACCAAAATTCAGTGAGATTTACTAACTTTCTAATAATCAAATAACTAGCAAGTGGCTAAACTGCTAACAAATGAAATTATATTTACTTTGTGGATCATAATCAGAATATAACAGTATTTATTTTAAGAGCAATGGGAAGGCATTGAAGAGTTTTAAAGCAAAATTGCATTTTGGAAAGATCATTCTTGCTGCAGAGTATAAAATGGATTTTAAGGAGTCAAAGAGGTGTAGGGAGACCACTTGGGAGATGGTAGTAACTTGGACTAGGAGGACAATAGCGCTATGGATGTAATTATTCATGTATTATTTTAATTGATAAATATTTAATCAGCTCCTATGAAGAATGCCAGGCACTAAAGATACAAATTTGACCAAGGTAGACACGGTCACTGCCCTCAAAGAGTTTCTCAGAGATAAAAGAGACAGGAATTAGTGGTGAGTTGCATGTGGTACTGATGGAAAATAAGTGGTCTGGGATGGTTAATTGACTTCCAGTTGGCTCCAGCACCCATGCTCTTTCCACCACCCATGAATTTGTATGTTAAGTGAAAAGCAGGTGGCTAAAGGGCAGAGTTAGGGAAGACCAAGGCGAATTTGGGAAGAGCTTCTGTGTCATTCTCATCAACTCAGACTTTATTTTGGAAACTTTAGGGAGCCATTGAACATGTATAAGCAAGGAAATAGCTTGGACAGATACATGTGTTAGCAAGATTAAGATTTCATTTCTTATCCTTTAACACTCAGAATTCCTACAGGGCTAACTAGGCAAAGGATGAAAATAATCTTCTTTTCATATTCTACCCTCTAGTGGCAAGAGGAAAAACAGCAAGTCCAATACCACAGGTTTCTAAGGAGCAGCCAGCTTTGATTTGCCCTGCATGTCATAGCTCAGAAAGTTTTGCTGTTCCTACAATCCTCAGCAAAGATCATCCATTCATTCCGGAATTCCCCCAGCTCATCGACACAGCTCTGTCCCTCACTACAGACAGCCTTATTCTGGGAACTCTCACGACTCCCAACCTCCCAGTCCACCTTCACATTGTTTGCCTGTTTTCAGTGCCTTTCCTCTGCAGATCTCTCAGTACAGAGCCATAAGGAGTCAGCAAAAGCTAACAATGCTGCCCTCAGCTGGAAACCTAGTGAAGTGCCTCTTACATTTCTCCTGGAACCATTCCTCTGAGACAGTCAAGTCTTCAAACTCTTAGTGAGCATATGCTTCTTTTTCATCTGAGTTATGAAAGAATAGTGCCCCATTTGGCTCAAATCTATGCAATGTGGAGGAAGAAAAGGCAAGAGCTAATCCTTGCCATGAATTCATCATTGTTATCATCACCATTTCACCATTAGCAGCCACAGACTCTGAAAACAACTTGGTGAAGGCTTGAAAATAGAGGGTAGGGGCCAGGCGTGGTGGCTCACACCTGTAATCCAAGCACTTTGGAGGCCAAGGCAGGAGAATCACCTGAGGTCGGGAGTTCAAGACAGCCTGGCCAACATGGTGAAACCCCGTCTTTAAATTAAAAAAAAAAAAGAAAAGAAAAGAAAGGGTAGGGCAGATATAGGGCAGCTTTTTCAAGGGTATCTCCTCCTTTCTTCGAAAAGAAATGTTCTCTTTCTCTTGCATCTTTACTCTAAGTCCCTTTGCCCCAGAACCTCTGTGCTTCCAAAATGGCGCTCTGATAATGTCTCCTGTAATAAGATAATAAAAGAGTCTATTTATGTAGCTTAGAAATAAATACAGGAATTGCTTCTCAAAAATCCAAATTGATTTAAACACCCTCTGGAAATGTTCTTTTGGCATCCTTCCCAATTTCAAACAACTTGGGTCACAGTTTCCTCTACTCATTGACTCAGCACTTCAGTGGCAAAGTGACCCTCTAAATCTCACCTCAGCTAAGATAGCTCCTCCACTTCCTAGATGGGTGATATTGTGAATTAAACGCTGATGCTGTTTTTCTGATTTAGCACATGTGCACCACCCACAGATAATTTATTCTAGACTTTCTTTTAAAGCCAGGGGCTTTAAGATTACTGATGAACAGATCCCTCCCCCATCCAAGCCCTCTATTCACCCAGGAATTTGCGATGGAAATAGTACTGCTGGCCGGAGTAGAGCGGCATACCAGTGCTGCTGAGCACTGAGTGGCCGTTGCCATGGGGGCGAGAGTGTTTGTATAGAACTGCCTATACAAGCTGGCAGGATTGAGGCCTGCTTTTGATTCAGAGCTGATTAGAGAAGACCTAAGCCAATCCCCTTATTTTACAGATGAGGAAACTGAAGACCAAAGACTTAGTTAAATGACTTATTCTAGGTCCGAGGGCAAGGTATAGACAGAGATGCCTTTTGCAATGCATCACCCTTTCCAATAAAACACCCATTCTGGTCGAGTGAGTGCTCCTCCAGCCAATTCCACTAATGCCACTGTGTTACTACAGCATCATCAATCCAGGTGGAAGTGCCAGGAAACATGGTACAGGCAACAAAGGGTATGTAAATATTCTTGCATTTGCATGCATGCACATGTTTGCATGAAATTACATGTGCATACCTGAGGGTGATTGTGCTAACTCGGTATTTGTATAGTTCTCTGATTACTGAAATTCCTTAAACCACCCTTTCCTCGAGTTAAATGTGAATAAGAAATAATGCCTATCTCAAAGGATTAAATGAAATAATGAATTTAAAGTACTTATTGCAGTAGCTGGCATAATAAGTGTTTGATACTATATTGTTTCTATTATGTCTTTCTGCAATGGAATGTGTCAGCGTTTGCCTTCTAGGCACTGGGCTAAATGCTTTAATTTTTCATTTAATATTTGCAGCAACCCTTGGAGTAGGTTCTTTCATTATCTGCATAGCACTGATGAGAAAACTAGGCCTGGAAAGGTTGAATAACTTGCCTAAGGTCCCAGGGCTGGGAAGTGGCTGAGGAAGAATCAAAACCAGGTCTGTCTAATGTTAATGCCCTCAATATTTAAAAAAAAAAATTTTTTTTTTGTATTTAAAGACGGGGTTTCACCATGTTGGTCAGGCTGGTCTTGAACTCCCGACCTCAGGTGATCCTCCCGCCTTGGCCTCCAAAGTGCTTGGATTGCAGGTGTGAGCCACCATTCCCGGCCAATGCCCTCAATCTTAACAATTAAGTTGTACTGCCTCTCCTAAAGAAAAGAGGAGGGACGGCCGGGCGCGGTGGCTCATGCCTGTAATCCCAGCACTTTGGGAGGCCAAGGTGGGTGGATCACAAGGTCAAGAGATCGAGACCATGGTGAAACTCCGTCTCTACTAAAAATACAAAAAATTAGCTGGGCACGGTAGCACGTGCCTGTAATCCCAGCTACTCAGGAGGCTGAGGCAGGAGAATTGCCTGAACCCAGGAGGCGGAGGTTGTGGTGAGCCAAGATCGCGCCATTGCACTCCAGCCTGGGTAACAAGAGCGAAACTCTATCTCAAAAAAAAAAAAAAAGACAGAAAAGAATGAATCTATTCTAGTGTTTTTGAATGTCTTTGCTAGAACTCTAAATCCAAATACATTAGATACAAATTGCATGTGGGGTGGGCTAGCTCATCCATATAAATACATTTTCATTAAACCCACTGAAACTGTAAACAAAGGGTTTGTTTTCACTCCCCTTTAATTACAGTTTTTTATAGAGACCCTACTTAGGCATTTTGTACAAAAGACAATTTCCCAGTGAATGCCATTTTATTCAATATCCTATTATTTCAAAACTCCATAGGTCTCCTCTTTTTTTTTTTTTTTTTTTGAAACAGAGTCTTGCTTTGTTTCCCCGGCTGGAGTGCAGTGACGAGATCTCAGCTCACTGCAACCTCCGCCTCCTGAGTTCGAGCAATTCTCCCTGCCTCAGCCTCCTGACTAGCTGTGATTACAGGTGCCCACCACCATGCTCAGCTAGTTTCTGTAGTTTTAGTAGAGCTAGGGTTTCTCCGTGTTGGCCAGGCTGGTCTTGAACTCCTGACATCAGGTGATACACCCATCTTGGCCTCCCAAAGTGCTCGGATTACAGGCATGAGCCACTGAGTCTGGCCCATAGGTCTCCTCTTGAGACCTATGCAAAAAATACTAATCTAGGCCAGGTGAGGTGGCTCACGCCTGTAATCCTAACACTTTGAGAAGATGAGGTGGGAGAATCACTTGAGTTGAGGAGTTGGAGACCAGCCTGGGCAACATAGTGAGACCCCACTCTCTAAAAAATATAAAAATAAATTAGCCAGGTATGGTGGCTTTCACCTGTGGTCCCAGCTAGTTGGGAGGCTGAGGCAGGAGGATCAATTGAGCCCTGGAGGTCAAGGCTGCAGTGAGCAGTGATCGTACCACTGTACTCTATCCTGAGTGACAGAGTGAGACTCTGCCCCACTGCGCCCCCCAAAAAGAATATACCTGTTTGTTTTCTGCCTCCCCTACCAGATTGTAGGCTCCATATGAGAACAAGGACCATGGCTGCTTGGTTCATCAATATATATGGTGAGCCTAGCAGAGTGCCTAGCACATAGTAAATGCTCATAAATAGTAGCTGATATCATTATTCCAAGTGAACTTCGTTTTTCATTCTGCAAAATGGCTGTTTTCAAGCTATACCACTGTCTTCAAACTTCTTCCTCTAACCTTTACCTCTTAAAAATAACATAGAAATGACTATCCTATTCTTATTTTCTTTCTTTTTTTCTTTTTTTTTCTTTCTGAGATGGAGTTTTGGTCTTGTTGCCCAGGCTGGAGTGCAATGGCACGATCTTGGTTTACTACAACCTCCTGGGTTCAAGCGATTCTCCTGCCTCAGCCTCCGGAGTAGCTGGGATTATAGATGCCCACCACACCAGGTCCAGCTAATTTTTTGTATTTTTAGTAGAGATGAGGTTTTGCTATGTTGGCCAGGCTGGTCTCAAACTCCTGGCCTCAGGTGATCTGCCTGCCTTGACCTCCCAAAGTGCTGGGATTACAAGAGTGAGCCACCACACTGGGCCCCTATCCTCATTTTCTATAATCTCCTTAAATGCCCCGAATTTGAGTTAAACTGGACCGTGTAACATTCCATTACATCTCCAACCCATTGTTCGAGCTATTCCTCTGCCAGAAATGGCCCCCCTCTACTCACTTCCCCTCCTGTATTGTCATCTTGTCCTTAAAGCTCCACTCAAAGGGCAAGCACATTCCCTTTTTAGTTTTCTCTTGTAGCCCACAATTAACTGCTCCCTTCCCAGAGCCTTTCACAATAGTTTTTTTTTCCTTCTGTCTAGAAAACGAAAGATAATCACAATATTTTTTTTAATTCTTTTTTTAATCACAATACTTTTACATTAACTTTTCACATTTTTTTTTTCTTGAGACAGAGTCTCACTCTGTCGCCAGGCTGAAGTGCAGTGGTGGGATCTTGGCTCACTACAACCTCCACCTCCCTGGTACAAGCGATTCTCCTGCCTCAGCCTCCCAAGTAGCTGGGACTACAGGCACATGCCACCATACCCAGATAATTTTTGTATTTTTAGTAGAGATAGGGTTTTATCATGATGGCCAGGATGGTCTCTATCTCTTGACGTTGGTGATCCACCCACCTCAGCCTCCCAAAGTGCTGGGATTACAGGCATGAGCCACTGCACCCAGCCAGCTTTTCACATTTTATCTGTGTTGTGTGGCTTTCTTACCCTGAAAAGTGAATTCTTTAGGGATAAGAGTTTTGTTATCTTCTTTAAATCCCCACCACTCAGCACAGCTCTTGATGCATGGTATGCAGTCAATATATAATAAGCAAATTAGCAAATCCAGGGCAGAGTATCTTTAAAAGAAAACAGAGGCTGGCCCAGAAATTAATAATAAGAAACCTAATAGGACTCCGAGAAAAGGCAATTACTGTGTTAATTATGCCTCAAAAACATCTTTTCTTTAAATACCGTAGAAATCGGCCAGGCACGGTGGCTCAAACCTGTAATCTCAGTACTTTGGGAGGTCAAGGTGGGCTAATCACTTGAGCCCAGGAGTTTAAGACCAACCTGGGCAACATGGCGAAACTCCGTCTAAAAAAAACAAACAAGAAAAAATAAAAAAAATTAGCCAGCATGGTGTTGCACACTTCTAGTCTGAGCTACTTAGGAGGCTGAGGTAGGGGGATCATCTGGGTCCAGGAGGCTGAGGCTGCAGTGAGCCCTGATCATGATACTGCACTCCAGCCTGGGTGACAAAACAAAACCTGATTTCAAAACAAAACATAGAAATCCTCAAAGAAGCTTCTCTTTAGATTTTCTTCCCACATAGGAAAACAGTATGAAGTGAAAATTGAGTGAAATCAGGGCTCCATGGGCTGATCACTAAGGCTTTAAGAAAAAAATTTGGGTGCTCCTTACTTAGGGAAAATGTGAATGTCAATTACCCTTTTCTTTTTTCTAAAAGGAAGTCTCACTCTTTTGCCCAGGCTGGAGTGCAGTGGTACGATCTCGGCTCACTGCAACCTCTGCCTCCCAGGTTCAAGTGATTCTCCTGTCTCAGCCTCCTGAGTAGCTGGGATTATAGCCATGTACCACCATTCCTGGCTAATTTTGTATTTTTAGTAGAGACCAGGTTTCACCATGTTAACCAGACTGGTCTAGAACTCCTGAGCTCTAGTGATCTGCCCATCTCTGCCTCCCAAAGCACAGAGATTAACAGGCATGCGCCACCACATCTGGCCTTAGTTGCCCGTTTCTAACTCTTGTTCAGTCTATAAATAGGAGCTAGGCTCTATTTCCAGATATTCTGAGTTAACTGGTTGAGCATATAGGCATTGGTACATTTAAAAGCCTCCCTAAATTATTAAATATGCAGCCAGGTTGGAGAAGCAGTTCCTAGAATGATATTATGGACAGAATGCACCCCTCTTAAACTTTTATGTTGAAGCCCTAACCCCCCTTTTGGGGGTGAGACCTTGGGAGGTAATTAGGTTTAAATGAGGTCTTGAGAGTAAGGCCCCCATGTTGGGATTAGTGTCCTTATAAGAGGAAGAGACCAGACCTCTCTCTCTGTGTCTCTTTCTCTCTCCATCTGAGGACACAGATGGAAGTTGGCCATCTGCAAGCCAGGAAGAAGGCTGTTACCAAGAACCTGATTGTGCTGACACTGTGATCTTGGACTTCCCAGCCTCCAGAACTTTGAGAAATCAATATCTGTTTTTTTCTTTTGTTTTGTTTTTTGAGACAGAGTCTTGCTCTGTGGCCCAGGCTGGAGTGCAATAGCATGATCTCTGCTCACTGCAACCTCGGCCTCCTGGGTTTAAGCGATTCTCCTGTCTGAGCCTCCTGAGTAGCTGAGATTACAGATGCCCACCACCACACCCAGCTAACTTTTATATTTTTAGTAGAGATGGGGTTTCACCATATTGGTCAGCCTGGTCTTGAACTCCCGACCTCAGGTGATCCGCCTGCCTTGGCCTCCAAAGTGCTTGGATTACAGGCGTGAGCCACTGTGCCTGGCTCTTTTTTTTTTTTTTTAGATGGAGTCTCGCTCTTGTCTCCCTGGCTGGAGTGCAGTGGCATGATCTCCACTCACTGCAACCTCTGCCTCCCAAGTTCAAGTGATTCTCCTGCTTCAGCCTCCTGAGTAGCTGGGATTACAGGTGTTTGCCACCACAACTGGCTAATTTTTGTATTTTTAGTAGAGACAGGGTTTCACCATGTTGGCCAGGCTGCTCTCGAACTCCTGACCTCAGGTGATCTACCTGCCTTGGCCTCCCGAAGTGCTGGGATCACAGGTGTGAGCCACTGTACCTAGCCCTTTTTTCTTTCTTTCTTTTTTTTTTTTTTGAGACAGAGTCTCAATCTGTTGCCCAGGCTGGAGTGCAATAGTACAATCTTGGCTCACTGCAACCTCCACCTTTCAGGTTCAAGCAATTTCCAGCTAATTTTTTTTGAATTCTTAGCAGGGACGGGGTTTCACCATGTTGGCCAGGCTGGTTTCGAACTCCTGACCTCAAGTGATCTGCAATACACTGGTCTTCTGGTCTATCATAGAGGTGTAGTGGGGAGCTGACATAATATCAGAAACTGAGACTTAGAAATTCAGCAAATCATCATTATCATACAAAGCACTCTGAAACACTGCCTGGCACATAGACAATGCTCTATAAATGTAAGGGAGTAGTAGAAGTATTAGTATTATCATCACCATCATCAAACTGATAACCGGGGGTTGATTTAATAGTGTTGAGTAGTTTAAACAAGTTTCAGAGTTAGGATTTAAATTATGACTGAAATTTGAATGTCTTTCATTATACCAGGTTGATGGCAGCAGAAATAGCTTCCTGTTATTCAGAATAATGATGCCCAGGACAAATATTACTATTCCGTATGTTCCCTGTTTCCTTGACCATCATCCATTTTTGCTTTCCAGATTAAGCCCTCCAAGGGAGTTTGAAATAAAAGATCATATGGGCTAAAGCCAAACAACAACTGAACAATACCAATGGGCAGAATTTGGGGAGTCTAAAAACCTAATGGTTTTACCTGGGAACAGCTAACCCTATTTACAATACAGAGCCTCCAGCTTTTGGCTCATCTCTAGCTCTTGGGCTCTTCTCTAGGCTTGGAGAGATCAGATTGCTAAAGACAGCCTTTTTCAAGAGGCTCACTTCTTTTCTAGTCCTCAGGTCCTCATACCCTCGTTGATTTTTCTTCTTTCCTTTTATTTCCTTTTTTTTTTTTTTTTTAAATTTTTTCAGATAGGATCTTGCTCTGTTGCCCAGGCTAGAGTGCAGTGGGACAATCATAGCTCATGCAGCCTCGATCACCTGGGCTCAAGTGATCCTCCCACTTCAGCCTCCTGAACAGCTGGGACTACATACATGTGCCACTATGCCCAGCTAATTCTTTTGGTTTTTAATAGAAATAAGGTCTTGCTATGTTGCCCAGGCTGGTCTCAAATTCCTGAGCTCAAGCTTTCCTCTGGTCTCAGCCTCCCAAACTGCTAGGATTACAGGCATGAGCCACCACACCCGGACTACCCTTGTTGATTTCTGAAACTATTTAAGTGTCTTAAAAACTCAAGATGATGCCTAGAAGAGTCCAGAAGAGGGGAAATGCAGGGGGAAGTGCTATTGTTGACATTATCCCAATAACCCCAGGAACCCAGATCAGTCCAGCACTTTTTTGTATGTCTTGATTATTTTACTGATACAAAATTGGATCAGGCTTTTTGACAGTTTGTGGTGAGTGAAAAACCCAGAGCTGGGCCAGAATGCCACCAGGAAGCCCTATGTTTCATTTGGCTAATGTTCTTTCTTAAAGAACCAAATCAAAGTCATCTCTTTTGTGACACCGTGTGCAGTCCTACAGGTGGAGCTACCTTTATTATATTTGTATTAGAATTATTTGATTGCCTGTCACTTCTGTACATCTTTCCATGAACAAATAGAGAGATCACATCTATTAACTCTGTTCTCCCTCTAACAATAGCAATTACATAGTGGCAAATACATTAAAGATGCTTAATAAATAATTGTTAAACAAATTAATAGATAAATGGATACTAGGCTTCTGGGTCTTATTTAGGCCTGAAGTGCTAGTACAATTGCAGAGGATATACTTTTGCATCATTTGGGCCTGTCTCAGTCTGTTTTGTATTGCTATAACAGAATACCACAGACTGAGTAATTTACAAAGAAAAGCAATTTATTTCTGGAGGCTGGGAAGGTTAAGTTCAAGGGACCCACATCTCCTGAGGGCCCTCTTGCTGTGTCATACCTTGGGAAGTGAAAAGCAAAGGGTGAGTCAGGCCATAGAACTCACAGCCTCAAGCTCTTTTTAACTGGACATTTACAGATTCATGAGGGCTCCACCCTCATGACCTGAACACCTCTCATTAGGCCCTACCTCCCGACACTGTGGCGTTGGGGATTGTTTCCAACATGTGTTCTTTGGGGGATACATTCAAACCAGAGCAGGACCCATATCTGTGCATCATATTAGATGAGTGAACTTTTTTTTTTGAAACAGAGTCTTGCTCTTGTCACCCAGGCTGGAGTGTAGTGGCATGATCTGGGCTCACTGCAACCTCCACCTTCCAGGTTTCAAGTAATTCTTCTGCCACAGCCTCCCAAGTAGGTGGGATTACAGGTACCTGCCATCGCACCCAGCTAATTTTTGTATTTTTGGTAGAGACGGGGTTTTCACCATGTTGGCCAGGCTGGTCATGAACACCTGACCTTGTAATCCACCTGCCTCAGCCTCCCAAAGTGCTGGGATTAAAGAAGTGAGCCACTGTACCCGTCGGATTAAACATTTTTATATTTTATTTTGCTTTATTCATCTCTGTATCTTCTACAGGACCCGTTTTCAAGAAATACATGTTGAGGATCTGTTCTGCTCAGAAATGGAATAGAATTTGTATGTGTTTCTTTTGTTTTGTTTTTGAGATGAAGTTTCCCTCTTGTTGCCCAGGCTAGAGTGCAATGGCACAATCCTGGCTCACTGCAACCTCTGCCTCCTGGGTTCGAACAATTCCCCTGCCTCAGTCTCTTGAGTAGCTGGGACTACAGGTGAGTGCCACCACCCCCGGCTAGTTTTTTGTTTTTTTTGTATTTTAGTAGAGATGGAGTTTCACGATGTTGGCCAGGATGGTCTCGATCTCCTGACCTCGTGATCCACCCACCTCGGCCTCCCAAAGTGCTGGGATTACAGGCATGAGCCAGCACGCCCAGCCCAAATTTGTATGTTTTAACCAGGTCAAAGTTAATTCATAAACTTAACATTTATTGTCTTATTGCTATATGCAGAATACTCTGACAGATAAGAAGTATAAAGGGTTGGATCAACATTACTCTTATAGGAGATGAGAATCTGTGGGTAAGTTGTTTTTTTTTTTTTTTTTAAGATGGGGTTTCACCATGATGTCCAGGCTGGTCTTGAACTCCTGACCTCAGGTGATCCACCCACCTTGGCCTCCCAAAGTGCTAGGATTACAGGCGTGAGCCACTGCGCCCAGCCAGTTTTTTTTCTTTTTGAGATGGAGTATTGCTCTGTCGCCCAGGCTGGAGTGCAATGGTGCAATCTCAGCTCAGTGCAACCTCTGCCTCCTAAATTCAAGCAATTCTCCCACCTCAGCCTTCTGAGTAGCTGGGATTACAGGCACCTGCCATCATGCCTAGCTAATTTTTGTATTTTTGTAGAGACAGGGTTTCACCATGTTGGCCAGGTTGGTCATGAACTCCTGACCTCAGACAATTCACCTGCTTCGGCCTCCCAAAGTGCAGGGATTACAGGCATGACCCACTGTGCCAGGCCTTACTTTTTTCTTTTTCTTTCTTTTTTTTTTTTTTTTGAGACAGAGTATTGCTCTGTTGCCCAGGCTAGAGTGCAATGGCATGATCTCTGCTTACTGCAATTTCTGCCTCCCGAGTTCAAGCAATTCCCTGTCTCAGCCTCCCGAGTAGCTAGGATTAGTCATGTGCCACCATGTCCACTAACTTTTTGTATTTTTAGTAGGGATGGGGTTTTACCCTGTTCGCCAGGCTGGTCTTGAACTCCTGACCTCAGATGATCCACTCCTCAAAGCCTCCCAAAGTGCTGGGATTATAGGCATGAGCACCCAGCTGATAAATTTTTTTTTAAATGGTAAATTTAGATAACAAAATTACAGGGCATTTTAGATTAGAGGAAGAGTATACTTAAAAGCAGAGTGGCGCCGGGCGCGGTGGCTCATGCCTGTAATCCTAGCACTTTGGGAGGCTGAGGTGGGTGGATCACCTGAGGTCAGGAGTTCAAGACCAGCCTGGCCATCATGGTGAAACCTCATCTTTTTTTTTTTTTTTTGAGATGGAGTTTCGCTCTTGTTACCCAGGCTGGAGTGCAATGGCGCGATCTCGGCTCACTGCAACAACCTCCGCCTCCTGGGTTCAGGCAATTCTCCTGCCTCAGCCTCCTGAGTAGCTGGGATTACAGGCAAGCGCCACCATGCCCAGCTAATTTTTTGTATTTTTAATAGAGACGGGGTTTCACCATGTTGACCAGGATGGTCTTGATTTCTTGACCTCGTGATCCACCCACCTCGGCCTCCCAAAGTGCTGGGATTACAGGTGTGAGCTACCACCCAGCTGAAACCCCATCTTTAAAAAAAAAAAAAATTTTCTTTAAAAAGGAAAAAAAAGAAGCAGAGAAGCAGCCGGGAACAGTGGCTCATGTCTGTAATCCAGTACTTTGGGAGGCTGAGGCAGGTGGCTTGCCTGAACTCAGGAGTTCCAACCAGCCTGGGCAACATGGCAAAACCCCATCCCTACAAAAAAAAAAAAAAAAAAAAAAAAAAAAAAAACACAAAAATTAGACAGCTGGGATGGCGGGCACCTGTGGTCCCAGCTACTTGGGAGTCTGAGGTGAGAGGATTACTTGAGCTCAGGAGGTTGAGGCTGCAGTGAGCTGTGATGGCACCACAGCACTCCAGCCCGGGTGACACAGGGAGACTCTGTCTCAAAAATAAATAAAAAAGCAGAGAGGCAAGAATGAGTATGGCATGTTTGGGAAACATTGGTTGAGTGGCATTTACTTTGTAGTCATGAGTTCTCACCAAAGAAGATATATGGCTAACAAATGTGAGAAAAGATATTCAACAGCATTAGTCAATAGGGAAATGCCAATTGAAACCACAGAGATAACCACTTCACATTCACTAGAATGGTCATAGTTAAAAAGACTGACAATGCCAAATGTGTATGAGGATGTGGAGAAATTAGAACCTTCGTACATTGTTAGTGGGAATATAAAATGATACTGCCACTTTGGAAAATAGTTTTCGTGTTTCTTTTAAAGTTCACCATAAACTTACTCTATGACTCAGCAATTTTACTCTTAGGTACTTCCCAAGAGAAATAAAAATATATGTCCACACAGAAGTTTATATGTGAATGTTCACAACAGCATTATTCATAATAGCCAAAAAGTGGAAACAACCCAAATGGTGAATGGATAAACAAAACATGGTATGTTTGTACAACAGAATATTGTTCAGAAATAAGAAGGAGTGAAGGACTGACACACTATGCAACATGGATGAACTTCAAAAACATGCTAAATGAAAAAAGCCAGACACAAAGATTCCATTTACATGCAATATAGGATTCCATTTATATAAGTTCCACAAAAGGCAACTCTATAGAGACAGAAAGCTGATTAGTAGTTGTCTGGGGCTAGGAGTAGGAGCAGGAATTGACTGCAAATGAGCACAGGGAACTTTTTGGGGAGAGGAAAATATTCTAAAAACTGAATCATGGTGATAGTTGCACGACTCTACAAATTTACTAAACATTGAATTGCACACTTACCATAGGTAACTTTTATAATTTGTAAATTATTTCAAATTAAAGCTGTGGGAGGAAAAGACACAGGTTTAAATCAAATCCTGGCTTTACCACTATCTAGCTGTGAGATTCGGCCAAGTTATTTTAGTTCTGTTAACCTCTGTTTTCCCATTCATGTAAAATAGGGATGATAAAAATAGTACCGTAGCTACCCAATGAAGACTAAGTAAGGTCATGTAGTAAAGCATGTAGTACATTGTGATTACTCCATGAAGGTTAGTTCTTATGAGACCAATTGATAAAGATTTTGATGTTCCTATTTGTTTTCAAAAGGTGCATGCAGATTCAGAGGGAAGAGAAGATCTCAAATCCCAAGAAGGAAAGGAATTAACAGTGAGACGTTTGAAGAGATGAAACAGAGAAGAGGCAGGTGGCAGTAAAAACACAGAAGAAAACTGCAGATAGACAAATAATAAGGAAAAAGACAGGAAGTGATCATTAATTGAATGAATAGAGCTGAAATTGAGAATGCTTTTCTTTTCTAAACTGGACTTGGATTTAGATTTTAAAATTACTTAATTTTATTTACTCATATTCATTCATTCATTCAACAGAATGTACAAATCATACATGATAACAGTATCTACTACATAGAATTGTCACAAATTAAATCAATTAATTCTTGGAAAGCACAGTTTATTCATGATGCTTTGTATATCATGTTAAGGAATTGGGATTTGAACTTCTAAGAGTTGTTTAAAAGCCATTATATTAAGGCTCAGCAGTTAATTGGCATGTGAGAGCTGTTGTGCTCCAAGTTCTTATCAGAAATAGAATCTAGAACTCATTGCCATTCCATACTTTTCAAAAGCATTTAACTGAGAAAAATAACCTTCACAGAGAATACACAATCAGTTCATCCATTCCTTTTCAAAGGTCTGTGGTTCTTAACTATTTCAGACTTTAGGCCTCTTAATTTTAGTAAAACTTCTAGGCCTTGCACAGTGGCTCACATCTGTAATCCTAGCACTTTGGGAGGGTGTGGTGGAAGGATCCCTTGAGCTCAGGAGTTTGAGACCAGCCTGGGCAACACGCAAGACCTTATCTCTACTAAAAATAATAATAAAAAAATAGCCAGGTGTCATGGTGTGCACCTGTAGCCCCAGCTACTCAGGAGGCTGAGATGGGAGGATTGCCCAGGAGGTTGAGGCTATAGTCAGGAGCTATAACCATATCACTGCACTCCAGCCTGAGCAACAGAGACCCTGTCTCAAAACAAACAAACAAAAAATTTTGAGTAGTAGTTGTCAAACCAAGAAGTCTTAAACATTAACAAGCTTTCCTTTATATGGGATATGTGTATTATGAATTCCTATATTAGAATTTAAAACTAACAGCAAACTTAGTGTTATGTTAGCGTAAATAACATTTTTATGAAAAACAGCTATATTTTTCAAAACAAAGGATATAATGAGAAGAGTGTCAATGTTTTACCTTTTTACAAATTTCTTTAATGTCAGATTTAGCTAATAGATTCTCATATATGCATCTGCATTCAGTCTGTTGCAATATGTTGCTTTAGTTGAAGGATATGAAGAAAATCTGGCTTCACACAGATAAGTAGCTGGAATGAATTTTAAATTAGTTTTTCTGATCATTGTGGTTATTCTTTGATACTACATGGAAATGCAATAAGTGCTAATTGATTGATTGATTTAGTGTTTTGCTCTGTCTCAGGCTGGAGTGCAGTGGCAGGATCTCGGCTCATTGCAACCTCCGTCTCCCGGGTTCAAGGGAGGTTCTGCCTCAGCCTCCCGAGTAGCTGGGATTACAGGTGAGCCACCACGCCTGGCTAATTTTTTTGTATTTTTAGTAGAGATGGGGTTTTACCATGTTAGCCAGGCTGGTCTTGAACTCCTGACCTTGTGATTCACCCACCTCGGCCTCCCAAAGTGCTGGGATTACAGATTTGAGCCACCTCGACTGGACAAGTGGTCTTTTTTTTTTTTGCCTGGGAGGGGAGTGGAGGAGAGGGGAGAGGTGGGGAGAGGAGGGGAGGGGAAGCAGTAATTTCTTAAAAGTTGGTTGCAGCCAGGCACAGTGGTGCAAGCTTACAGTATTAGCTACTCAGGAGGCTGATGTGGCAGTATTGATTCAGCCCAGGAGTTTGAGTCCAGCTTGGGCAACATAGTGGTGAGACCTGATGTCTTTAAAGAAAAGAAAAAAAAGGTTAGTTGCAATGTTGAATCTGAAACCTTACTAAATTTGGAACTTATTGTCCTCTGTTTCATTAAAATCCACCGAGGCCAGAAAATCACTGCAACCTCCACCTTGGATGCAAGTGATTCTTCTGCCTCAGCCTCCCGAGCAGCTGGGACTACAGGTGCACTCCATCACACCCAGCTAACTTTTTGTATTTTTAGTAGAGACGGGGTTTTACCATGTTGGCCAGGATGATCTCAATCTCTTGACTTGAAGATCCACCTGCCTTGGCCTCCCAAAGTGTTGCAATTACAGGCGTAAGCCACCGCACCCAGCCTAAAGTCTTTATATTCTTTAACCTAGTAATTCTGCTTCTGAAAATGTATTCTAAAAATAATAATTTAACAGGAGAGAGAAAAAATTTATTTGTGAATATACACTATCTTTATAATAGTGAAAACAGGTTTTTAAGCAAGAGTGTTACATAGTAACAGCTATTTCTCAGATGGGTGGTGCATTTGTCTGTAATCCCAGCTACTTGGGATGCTGAGGCAGGAGAATCACTTGAACCCAGAAGGCAGAGGTTACAGTATGCCAATGTCGTGCCACTGCACTCTAGCCTGGATGACAGAGCGAGACTGTGTCTCAAAATAAATAAATAAATAGGTGGGCACAGTGACTCATGCCACCAATGGAGTGAGACATTGTCTCAAAAAACAAACCAACAGGCCAGGCATGGTGGCTCATGCCTGTAATCCCAGCACTTTGGGAGGCTGAGGTGGGTCGATCACGAGGTCAGGAGTTCGAGACCAGGATGACCAACATGGTGAAACACTGTCTCTACTAAAAATACAAAAATTAGCCTGGCATGGTGGCTCACACCTGTAATCCCACCTACTCAGGAGGCTGAGGCAGGAGAATCACTTGAACCCAGGAGGCAGAGGTTGCAGTGAGCCGAGATTATACCACTGCACTCCAGCCTGAGCAACAGAGTGAGAATCTGTCTCAACAGATTCTCAAAAACAAAAACAAAAAACCAACAAACGTAAAAAGAAGACTGGGCAAAGTGGCTCATGCCTGTAATCCCAGCACTCTGGGAGGCTGAGGAGGGTGAATTATTTGAGATCAGGAGTTTGAGATCAGCCTGGTCAACATGGTGAAACCTTGTCTCCACTAAAAATACAAAAAAAATTAGCTGGACTTGGTAGTGCACGTCTATAATCCCAGCTACTTGGGAAGCTGAGGCAGGAGAGTCATTTGAACCAGGGAGGTGGAGGTTTCAGTGAGCCGAGATTGTGCCACTGCACTCCAGCCTGGGTAAAAGAGTGAGGGTCAGTCAAAAAAAAAAAATTAATAGAGAAAAAAAGAGTGTCCAAGATTACCCTAAAGGAACAACAGTGTGCTGGATATTTGTTGTGGTTTTAAAATACGTCCACAAAATTATTTGATACTTCTCCCTTTAAGAGACTGAGTTTACCGGCCGGGCGCGGTGGCTCACGCCTGTAATCCCAGCACTTTGGGAGGCGAGGCGGGTGGATCACGAGGTCAAGAGAGCGAAACCATCCTGGTCAACATGGTGAAACCCCGTCTCTACTAAAAATAAAAAAAATTAGCTGGGCACAGTGGTACATGCCTGTAATCCCAGCTACTCAGAGGCTGAGGCAGAAGAATTGCCTGAACCCAGGAGGCGGAGGTTGCGGTGAGCCGAGATCACGCCATTGCACTCCAGCCTGGGTAACAAGAGCGAAACTCCGTCTCAAAAAAAAAAAAAAAAGAGACTGAGTTTAATCCCACTCCTCTTGAGTGTGGGCTGGGTTTAGTGACTTGCTTGTAATGCATAGAATACAGCAGAAGTGCTGGTATTTGAGCTCAGAGACTAGGTCACAAAAGGCATGGCAGCTTCCAACCCATCTTCTACATTGCCTTCATAGTCATCAATCTCAGACCCAAATAATAATAGGTAATTTTTGAGCTGTTAGTTTCTCAGGCACATAGAGAAAAGTTTAACTATGTAACAGACTTTGAAAATGCCATAACTCTTCCTCCTGTATGGTATGACTATTTTCTTCTTCTCTGCCTGGCAAATTCTTTCTCAATCTTTTAGCATAGCTCAAATGTCACTTCCTCTCTGGCTGTGCCAGCATTACTTTACCTTTCTCTGGGCTTCCAAATGCACTTTGTGTGTATACTCCTTTTATTATTATATTATACTATTCAGCTTAACAATGTTTATTTAAGACCTACCTATATTGCATTTTTAAAAACCACTTTTTACTTCTTCATTTCCAATTTTTGCATAAAAGAAGCACAGTGCTATACTAGAAAGTCAGAGATTCATTTGATATCTATCTTAGCAAATATCAGGTAGTACCACTTAATGTACCACTTAAAACATCTGTCTTTAAATTTGAATCCACGTTTGGGTGAAAGCAAAGTATAGAAAATGGAGGCCAGGTGCGGTAGCTCACACATGTAATCCCAGCACTTTGGGAGGCTGAGGTGGGCAGATCACAAGGTGAAGAGATCGAGACTATCGTGGCCAACAAGGTGAAACCCTGTCTCTACCAAAAATACAAAAATATTAGCCAGGCATGGTGGCATGTGCCTGTGGTCCCAGCTACTTGGTAGGCTAAGGAGGAAGAATCGCTTGAACCCAGGAGGCAGAGGTTGCAGTGAGCCTAGACTGCATCACTGCATTCCAGCGGGCAACAGAGCAAGACTCCGTCTCAAAAAAAAAAAAAAAAGAAAAGAAAATGGAAAGAAATCCTTTATCTGTTGCAACCATTGAATTGACTTTGGGATATAGTGATTTCCATTTTACTAAGAGGAAATTATTTTCTTTTTCTTTTTCTTTTTTTTTTTTTTTTGAGACGGAGTTTCACTCTTGTTACCCAGGCTGGAGTGCAATGGCGTGATCTCGGCTCCCCGCAACCTCCGCCTCCTGGGTTCAGGCAATTCTCCTGCCTCAGCCTCCTGAGTAGCTGGGATTACAGGCATGTGCCACCATGCCCAGCTAATTTTTTGTATTTTTAGTAGAGACAGGGTTTCACCATATTGACCAGGATGGTCTCGATCTCTTGACCTCGTGATCCACCCGCCTCGGCCTCCCAAAGTGCTGGGATTACAGGCTTGAGCCACTGGGTCCGGCCCGAGGAAATTATTTTCGAATAGATTTTTTAAATCTGCATTTAAAACATGGCTTTTTTTTTTAAATGGTTTTCCAATAATGTGTGAAGTAGAGTGACAGCATGTTAAGAGTCTCAAGCATTCTGCTTGAGGTGGCTCACACCTGTAATTCCAGCACTTTGGAAGGCTGAGGTGAGCAGATCATGAGGTCAGGAGATCGAGACTATCCCAGCTAACACGGTGAAACCCCGTCTCTACTAAAAATACAAAAAAATCAGCCGGGCTTGGTGGTGGATGCCTGTAGTCCCAACTACTCAGGAAGCTGCGGCAGGAGAATCACTTGAACCCGGGAGGCGGAGGTTGCAGTGAGCCGAGATGGCGCCACTGCACTCCAGCCTTGGCAACAGAGCGAGACTCCACCTCAAAAAAAAAAAAAAAAAAAAGTATCAAGCATTCCAAAAATCACAGTTTAAAACTGTATCTTTGTATATAGCTAGTTGCAATTCAGGCTTGTGTTAAGAAACATGATTAGGCTGGGCTTGGTGCCACGTGCCTATAATCCCAGTTACTTGGGAGGCTGAGGCAGGAGAATTGC